GCTGGGACGACACAGCAGATGAGGCTTTTCTAGCGCTAAGGACTGCCCTGTCCTCCACCCCGGTCCTGCAGTTACCTAATTTCGCCCTCGAGTTTACTGTCGAGTGCGATTGCTCCCGGAGTAGGTATCGGTGCCGTATAACAGCAGCAAGGGCACCCAATTGCTTTCTTCAGCCGCCGACTGGCCGACCGGCATCTAAAGCTTCCAGCCTATGAGCACGAACTGATCGGCCTCGCCCGCGTCGTCCAGCACTGGAGACCATATTTGTGGGGGTGGTCGTTCGTCGTCAAAACTGATCATTACAGCCTCAAATACCTGTTAGAGCAACGTCTCACCACTGCCCCTCAGCAACATTGGGTTAGCAAACTACTCGGGTTCAACTTCTGGGTAGAGTACAAGGCGGGGTCCTCCAATCGCGCAGCTGATGCCTTATCTAGGCGAGATGAAGACGCGATGACTCTGTATGGCATTTCCCAACTCCGGATCTCTCTGTTTGACGACATTAAGGCAGCACCACAATCTCCGGAATGGTCACCCTTGGTCCAGAAGATCCAGTCAGGCACTGCCGACCCCAATTGGTCGCTTCAAGACGGGTTGGTACGATATAAGGGACGGGTCCATCTTCCGTCCGACTCTCCATTGATTTCCACCATCATCACCAGCATCCATAACTCCACCCATGAAGGCGTTCAGAAAACGCTACACCGCATCCGGACTGATTTCCATTGGCGAGGTATGAAAAATTCCATTCGAGATTTTGTCCATAAATGCTCCACATGCCAACAGCATAAATGGGAAAACCTACACCCAGCAGGCCTCCTTCAGCCCCTTTCCATCCCGTCACAGATCTGGGTCGACATCTCCATGGACTTCATTGAAGGACTACCCAAGGTAGGTGGCAAATCAGTTCTCTTCGGGGTAGTCGATCGTTTCTCTAAATACGCCCACTTCATTCCTCTATCACACTCGTACAGTGCCACTTCAGTTTCCCTCGCCTTCTTCACACATTTTTCGCTTACATGGGTTACCAGAATCCATTGTCAGCGATAGGGACCCAGTTTTCACCAGTGCCTTCTGGAAGGAGTTATTCCGGCTGCACGGCACCACCCTGGCCTACTCTTCAGCTTACCGACCGCAGACCAACAATCAGACAGAGGTGGTCAACCGCACCATCGAAATGTACCTTTGTTGTTTCATCGGCGATCAACCGCGACGGTGGGTGGATTGGCTCCCTTGGGCTGAGTACTGTTACAACACAACATACCATTCTTCCCTCGGCATGACCCCCTTTCGCGTCGTATATGGCCGGGACCCTCCCTGCTTGCTGTCCTATGAGCCTGGTTCTACTCGTTTGGACGCAATTGATCATTCCTTACAAGAACGCAACGCCCTCCTAGCCAACGTCAACCTTCGCTTACAGCAGGCCCAACTCCGCATGAAGCTCACCTATGACAAGCACCACCGGGAACTGTCGTTCGATCCAGGACAATTTGTTTGGTTGAAGCTCCAGCCCTACCGGCAACGCTCCTTGTGCCACAGCTGCCCCGAAGTTGTCCCCTAAGTTCTATGGGCCCTTCGAGGTTCTACGACGGATTGGCAGTGTGGCCTACCAGCTGGAACTGCCAGTGACCAGCCGGATTCATGATGTCTTCCACATCTCCTTACTGAAGCCATTTACAGGGGTTCCTCCGGACCAAGTACCCCCCCTACCACCCCTGAAAGATGGCAAACTGATCCCCCAACCGAAATCTCTCATCTGCTCTCGTTTCAATCGAGTTCTTGAAGTCTTGGTGGAGTGGTGTAACTTACCATCGGCCGAAGCCACATGGATCCCATTGACAGAGTTCTAGGCCACATACCCGGAATTCGAGCTCGAGGACAAGCTCTTAGTCCAGGAGGGGAGTAATGTTATGGACGCATTCCTCGGGAAGACATACCATCGCCGCCGACAGCAGCAGAAACCTGACCCACCGCCAGCAATAGTAATGATTCAGTGATTCTCAGTCTACCCAGTTCGGCAGCAGTCTCATCCAGATTAGATTAGCTTATCTTGCTTGTTCTTATCTTATTTTATTGCTCTTATCTTATCTTGTAAGTTATCAGATTAGGATTAGCTTATCTTATCCTTAGCAAGATAGAACTAGAAGTCTCCCTATTCAACAAGGAGACTCCCTCAGATTAGGACTCTTGTCATCTCCTATTTAAGRAGACACCCTTATTGAATGAAATCATCAAATTATTCAGTCAACRAGTGAGTTAGGAGAGTTGGTGATCTCTTGGACAAATCACCAAAGGCGCCAAGATAGGTTCATCACGAACAGGAAGGAACAAGGGAAAACAGGAGGTTTTCCCCGTGGACCGACCCGTGACGAGATCCTATTCTCGGGCCCTCAACACATGGAGACTTCCAATGCTTCATGATTCCAAGACCTAGCCTAAAACCAAAATCCCAAATAACAGAATTGCCTGAGAAAGAAACAAAGAGATGGGCTAGTTTTTGTAGGATGACAAGGAATATCAGGAATCCAAGTTCAACAAAGAATTCCTACCAAGATCCTCCCAAAATCTGACTCTACTTTCTTGGTATTCATCTCATCTGAAACCTTGTACTAGCTAAAATTTCCCTTGCCCATTTAGCAGTGACAAGATGCCATGAACCATTGCCAACTCTCCAACTCCACCTAATAACATTTACCGAACTTCCGTAGCTAAAGAAGATATATATGGATTATGGAATGGACAGATGTAAGGCAGGCCTTACCTTGGCCTTCATTAAACCATTGACATTTAAACAAAGCCACTCAATGTCAATGAGATATTACATCTGGTCGTAGTCTCTTAGATGCATTCCACCTTTGCCAATTGGGCCAAATTTCCCCATCAAACCTTAAAAGGATATCCTGTTCCATAGGAAGGGCTATTAGACTGGTCACCCAGGGTAAGACTAGAAGATTTGTGGGAGAATTCTTCTCATATTGTCTATATTTAGATTCCTTTGAACCTCTTAGTAACCAAAACCCAACAGTTAAGGAGAGACAAAACATATCATCCAAGGCCTCAAAGGACACCTCCTTAGCTTTAAACACTCACCTGTCCAGTTATCTAAAACATTTTTAAACAATAAGTATTTCTCTATAGTTATAACCATACATTTAAAACCATGCCCTCTTTGGTCTGCCCCTAGACCTTCTAGCCACTTCAACTTGCAACAAATCACTTCTTACAGATGCTGTAGATGGTATGTCTACATTTCCGAATTTAGTACTTCAAATATAATATATCCAATTTAAATTACCTAGGAAACTGATATTGCCTACACAACACCTGGATGCTAACCAAATTCTTAGGGGTCATCAAGATGACATGGAATTGACTGGATTTGCTCCCCAGATGCATTCTGAGTTACACCCATAATCTGCTTCAAGCCAACTAGAAGCATAGTTTGTAATACTTTCTCCACTGCTACTTATGGGGTTATAACCACTATATTAACAAAAAGCAGGCCTTCGGCCCACAATAATTATCACTACTTTGGCTGAAGGAATTAACAAACCTGTAATGAATGCCTGCACATTTGAGTCTCCACATCCAGTATAGATACAACATTCTCAGCCGCAGCCGCAAGATACCTCCCAAGACGTGGTTGGAATCGCATCTGAGTTGTACCGCCCTGCATTAAAGAACAGAAACAAATAAATTAGTCAAAGATTATCAAAATTTTAACAGGAATAAAAGCTAAAGAAAAGGAAAARGTGTTACACAAAAATAAAAGATAAGGAAATCACAAACTAGTTAACTGCATTATACCTTGAAGACCCTGGCACAACTACCATTATTGATACTCCAGTAGCGTATCTCACTGTCGCCATCACAAGAACATATGAGATCTTCTTTATTTGGGTGGAAGTCTAATGACATGACTGAAGCAGAGTGCCCCATAAAAGTACGAAGAGAATAACCTGGCTGCACATTACAGTAATCCATCCAATCAAAACATATCCAGCTAGCCAACACACTCAATGCAATCAAACACAAAGCAAACAGAATCTTAGATAACATGTTACACATGCCAACGTGAGAGATCTTTGTTTCAGTACCTCAGACAGAACAACCACATAAACCATTGACCCTTAAACATGTCCATCARATATGATGTCAACATTACTTTTTTGGAAAAAAATAAATGTTGCATTATAGACAAAAAGAGATGCAACCATAGCCCATGTACACTTGTACACCTCAAAGGGACTATAAAATGTTTCACGATGTCAATTTTTTCTTAGATGAAGTTTCATGATGTAAATATTGCATTTGAAGTTTTTAACTTTTCATCAACAAAAATAACCCATTATCAATAAGAGCTGAAAAAAGCAAAGCAAACCCTATAATGCAACACCTGGAAACATATCAAATATGAGGTAGGTACTGCATTGGAGCTCTTCATGACCAAAAACCATCTGATTATTATAGTTGTCAAGGCGTCTAGGCAATTCTGGGCAACAATGGGGTGCCTAGTCACCTAGGCAATAAAAAATTTATAAACTAACTTTTTGGATAGTTTCCTAGTTTTATATACCATTCAACATGCATATTAATTGAAAAAAAAAAATAACAAGTTTCTTTATTAAGAACAATAAATTTCCTCTAAAAATATGGCAAATCATCATATCGAAAAGATAAAAATGTTTTAAATATATTAATTTCATTATTTTTAAAAATAATACTACTATAATAAGTATTTCATAGAGCAATTTCATATCAATTAGCAACTAAAGAAGGTTAACTTTATAAGATAAAAATTCAAGATGGAAAGTGACTTCGTGAAAACAAGTTGGCAACTCACATTGTCAGCATCCCAAACCCTGACAGTTTTGTCAAAAGAAGATGTTGCCAGACGTGGCAAGCTTGGACTAAAACGAACATCAGTAATCAGCAAAGAATGTTCTTCCAGCGTACTCTTTTGTTTTAAAGTATCTGCATGCCATAATACAGCCTGCAACACAAACATAAAACCAATAGGTGTTGGTTATTCTTAAACAAATGAGGATCTCTCCCTCCTATCAGGATGGACTAAATTCCTATGCACCATATACCACACACACACACACACACACACACACACACACACACACACAATAAAATAAAAAAATAAACAAATCACAACGTAGATTTGACCTTTTTATCATGCCCACCACTAGCAAGCAGTTTTCCATCTGATGAGAAGTGGCAGCACACGACTTTGCTGGTACTTGCTCGAATAATGCCAACCTCGTTAAACGAAAATCCTGATTGTAAAACAAAAATTGCAAACTATAATTCAAATCTTCAATGTGCAGGAATTATCATTTCAGCATGATAATGTGACATTAATCTTACCTTTACTGACATCCATACAGCGTCCAACTGTATCTCTAGGGTCTGCATCATCATGAGATAAGAACGATTCGACATTATCATCCAAAGACCCATCCTCCACAAAGCGCTCCATGTCAGCCTGCAATTCAAGATCTTTATCATCCCACTGCCAAAATGGAGTGCTAATGAGAATTTTGTGAAGTTTTGAAAACTTTTTTTTTCGAGGAGACACTTGGTAGAACCAATACAAGAAAGGGTCCACTCACCAGTTGATTTGAAGGTGATGTTAAAGTGCCAGTTCCATCAGAACCAAACATGATTAAAGGCTTAGATGAACTACCACTGTGAGGCAAAGTAGGCATGGAGATCACATCTCCTGGGGTATGAGTTGAGGGTGTTGAGGGTGCTGAACTTGGAGAGGGTCCTGCTGTGTTTGCAGTTCCTGAACTATTGGCAGGTCCAGAAGATGACACAGGCTGCTTTCTCTTTCGCCCGGTCTGGTTTTTTGAAGCCTTAAAGTGCATTGAACAAAACTTTATTAGGAACCTAATAGAAATTTATAAATTAGATATAATGAAAACATAGAATTGGAAAGCAGATAAAGCCAATATAGGAATCATAGTCATAAAAAGACAGACCTGATCATTTCCTCGAAAGGAGTTTGACATGCTACCATCCACTGTAACACTTCCAGCACCACCTATTTTGTCTTGCTGGTGAAGATGGTGGTTTGAACTCTGAGACTGCTGACTTGAAAGTGGATGCTGCTGAAGCTGTTGCTGTTGTGGATTGCTGTTTTGTTGTTGTTGTTGCTGCTGCTGCAACTGTGCTATTTTCTACTACACATAAACAAGCTCTATGAGGAAGCAAGAAACCTGCAAGATGGAATATTATACCAAATATGAGAAAACTTTAGCTGCAACAAGAAAGAAGAAAGGGCACCTTAATTAGCATCTCTGTCTCCCCACGGGGTAAAACTGGGCATGCAGCTTGCATTGGTGATCCAACATTTGGAACTACATCACCAACAGAATTGGACTGGCCATCCTTTCCAAGACCAATATTTCTATTGTTCAGAAGCATCCTAAGCCTTCTACTGTCAACATCATTGGCAGATGGGGAGTTTATATTCTGCTGTGCTTGAAGCAAGAGTTGTTGCTGTTGCTGTGGTGTCAACATCTGAAGTTGATGAAAAGGCTGTGGGGACTGTATAAATGACTTTTGCTGYTGAAGAAACCCAGAACGAAGCTGTTCAAGTCCCTGGTGAGGGGGAAGATAAATATGATTACTTACCAAAGCATGATATTACAAGAGCAGACTTACAGGATGATCTATGTAATGGGATGGAAACAAGAGCAAGCCTAAGTGAGACCATGACAAAATAAAATTTCATACCAGTGCATACTCATACTACTAGAAAGCTACCATCGACCAAATAAAAAATTGCATGCATACCACTTAGAAACAAAACAACTTATTTTTCAATAAACCATCAATTCACAACCCTCAGCTTACACCAGAAAAAAAAGAAACATTTTTTATTAGCAAATAAGAACATTCATTATGTCAGTTCTGATAATTTGACAAGTGCAAGGATGCAAAGAAGTCAACCTTACTGGGGGAATGCATCTCTATGAATCTTGCCGAAAATGTAATATGAAGGAAAAAGAGGGTGAGGTGACTTTGCCAGACTGTTGTACCATGATGGGTGCTTGGCACAAACAAGCATATGTAATGAACTCTTTCTTGCTCCCAGCTATCTGGAGTCTCAGGAGGGGTGCACTGAATGCAGACCTAGCCTTTGGCTTTTTTACCCACAAAGTAGCTGCTCTCGGTCTTGAACACCCATTATAACACTAGCCAGCCTGAGATTTTTTACCACCATTACACCAAGCAATGGCCCATTTTTATATAATCAATAAACTTGGTTGGTTACTGATAAATAAAAATACATTCCTTAAACCTAGAGTCCAAAAGTTCCCTGAGGTCCTATAAAGCACAAGCCCTAGCTTTTCCTTAAGTTTTGGATATTCAAATCATTTATACTATCTTGCTCTTGGTTATAAATACTTGTTCCCCTTGATCAATCAATATCACAAGACAGTTTTTTTTTGATAAATTATTAGACATAGTTGTCAAGGCAATTCCTAGGCACCTTGGCTCACTTAAGCATCTAGCAGATCTGTACAGGGCACTATTATATATACTTTGAAGGTCAGCTAGCCTGCTGGTCCCATTACCAAAAAAACTAGATAATTACTATTTTACAAGTGAATAATGATTGCTGGTTGCTAAGGAACCCAAGGAGTTACCTTAGAATTCATGGTTCTTATTAAAAGAAAACCCATCACCTAGGTGATGCCTTAAAACCTGCCTAGGCAATTAGGCGACAAGCAGTGATTGATTTAAAAGCCACACAGGCAAGGCGCATTTTAGGGTATGTGCTTCACCTAGGTCCCAGGCGCAGCCCTTTCAAAAGGCCTAGGCATGCGCCCGATGCGCCTTGTGCCTCAACCTAAGCGTGCGCCTTTTGAAAATTCCACGCTTTTTTTCTTTTTTTGAACCTAGCGATAGGGCTGGGGGCGGACCATGCCCCTCGAGGCAAGCCCAAACAAGTCCACGTTATGGTCTTAAATTCTTAGTTCTCACACAAAAAAAATAATGATTTTATAATTTTAATTGCTTTTTAAGACCCTAACATGGACTTGCTTGGTTATATATATATATATATATATATATATATATATCTTCTTAAAAAGCAGTTAAAATTATAAAATCATTATTTTTTGTGAGAACTAAGAATTTAAGATCCTAACATGGACTTGTTTGGGCTTGCCTCGAGGGGCATGGCACAAAGGCGGCTCGAAGAATCAGAAATATGATATGCTTTACATCACATTGGCTACTTGAAGTAATGCAATTGAAGAAAAAAAAGAGATTGTTGGTTTCACATGCTTGAAAATGTTTTATATGTTTGGTTTTATTTTTAAATTTTCATTTGAATACGCTTTGCATGTTATGTTTATGTATTTTAATTTTAGACAATAGGTTTTTTAAAACATTTATTTTAAAATTTAAGTTTAAATTGTTTATTAATATTATGTTTAACTTTTTAGCATTTTTAGAATTTTTTGGCTTTTTTTCTGACATCTTTTTTTTTGTATTTTGCACCTTGCTTCAAATAGGTGAGCGCCTCGCCTTGCGCCCCGGGTGCAAATTGGCCCCTGCGCCTTTTTTTTGCACCTTGCGCTTTTAAAACACTGGCAACAAGGCAACCCCCCCCCCCAGCCTAGCCTCACCTTGGCACCTTGAAAACTATATTACAAGATGACCATAAATTTGAGATATACCTATATTCTAGATGTGGTTGTCAAGTAACATTCTGGGCTAAATTGGTAATAAAATCAGACCAATATTTTGATGAATCTGCTTTGAAGGAATTAGAGAGCTCAATCGTCCCATTATTTAGTAATTAGACAAGTTTCAAAGAAGATGACTAAGAAACTTCCATACAAAAGATATTATTTTATTGATTTTCTGGATAATTAAGAAGTATTTGTATTTGTGTTATATAATAAAGAAAAAAGGGGGGCAGATCCACTATACAAAATTCAAGCCTCAAAGACAAGGAAAACATTATAAACTTAATTTTCCAAGCACCTTTTGAATAATAGTTTATTCATAAGGAATTCTTTTATTCATACAAATAGTTAACGGATATCCTACACAATACGATACACCAAGAAAAAATAAGCAACAAACTTGTAAGTATAAAAAATGAGAAACTTGGATACCACAACATAGTTTTTGCCAAAATATTGGCCCTAAGAAATCGATTAATGTAACAGTGCAGCCATCCATGCTTTTTTAGTAATCATATATGATCTAGACCCCTGGTTATATCAAAAAGTTGGTGAATTCTATATAAAACAAATTAACAATCAAGATCATGCATCATGCATGATGCATCTAAAACCTGTGATATGAAAGACTAACAAGGCCTGAAAAAAAACTTACAGTGAGTGGCCATCCTTTCAAAGTCAAATTGTTACCACCTTGATTTGATCCTGATACACATGATGCTCAAGGTTAGCATAAAATGATCCTACTTAAAGCAAACTTAAATTTGGAGCTAGTCTTTAGCATTACAGATATATGTTTCAAAAAGTCCCCCACTTAAGCCAACTAAAGAAGAGGAACATCTTATATCACAAATATATGAATATCTCAAGTCTAAGAAAAAATACATGTGAAGTTAACTTCAAAGACAACACAAGTAGGAAATGAGAACTCAGTACCAGGAACTCCAATCAATGATCCATCAGGACCAGCACCTCTGGGATTCAATACCGGATTCATTTCACTCTTTATGTCCTGTTTCACAATTCCAGTCATACAGAACCCAACAAGAAGAAAAATATAAAATGGGTCAGTCTTAACAACCCATACCTGTGTAGATCCAGGAAGCTGCTGATTCCGAGCTTGAACTTGCTGAAGGGTCCCTGATATGCCACCAGCTGTCCCATGCAAGACTTGCCTGGAAAGCAAATGTTTAATTGCTAAAATCAACATATAATTCCAAACAACTGAAAGCATCAAATGGTACACCTATACCAAATTTAATGAAAATAAAAGAACAATAACAATGACATATACAACAAAAAACAGCTTATGGCACCAGATGGTACACGGTACACATCCATACCAAAATACAATAACAACGACATTAATACTAATAACAAAAACCATAAAACTCAACATGAGACAAAACAGAAAATACCCAGATGGCGGGCCAGCCGCTGCYGCTGACTTCAACATTGATGAGTGGTTTGGATCCAGAAGCTGGCCTACGTTATCGCCAAACCTTTGCTGTAAAATAAATTTCTGAAAGTTGTTAAAAATGGCAAGAAGACGTGTTGCTAATACCGAAGGGATTGAATGATACCTTCAGAGCTGCATCATCCAACGGATCTCTTTGAATTGGCAGTTTTAACCTTTCTTCATACATTTTTGTAGCCAAGGCATTTGCAGTTCCAGGGTTCTGCCGCATAAGAGTGTCACTGGCAACAAGTCCATTGGAAGTACCATTTAGAAGGTGTGGCCCCTCTCTTCGCTGCTGCTGTTGCTGCTGCTGCTGCTGCTGCTGCTGCTGCTGCTGCTGCTGCTGCTGCTGCTGTTGTTGCTGTTGCTGGTGCTGGTGCTGCTGTTGTGCATGCCTCTGCAGTAGGAGTTGTTGCATCTGCATTTGCTGCTGCTGCTGCTGTTGTTGAGGCTGTTGTTGTTGTTGCTGTTGTTGTTGCTGCTGCTGCTGCTGCTGTTGTTGCTCCCTTGCCTTGATTAATTGGGTCTGGAATTCAAACCCATTGATTCATAAATTCAAGTGTAGGTTTACAACTCCTCCAAAATATGCACCTAAATTAAGTACTTACAGAAAAGCATTATAAAGTAATTACAAGGTGCCTCTGTAGAAAGGTCTAAGGTCCAAGTACATATAAGGAAATTCCCTGTAGTCCTACATGGCTGGTGATTTTCTATCACTGTGTTGGATACTCGGGTATTTCCATTCAGTGTCATCTTAATTTTATTCACTTGATTATTAAGTTTATATTATATTATTTGGCTAAATGAATATTTTGAGCTACCTAAAAAAGAAAAGAATGAGGCTTAGCATGGTTCCATTTGACATTGCAGAAATTAAGAACTTGTGGAAAAGAAAATGAAAAAGAAGGGCATTCGTGCGGATCAAGTTACTTAAATGCTTGCTACTTAGGAATAGTATAAGCTACAAGCTAGGTCTAAGCAGAATGAAGGCTGAAAAATATACTTATAGTATTTGAAGAAAGGAAATAACATATGCATATGCATCAATTTTCTCTCCAATGAATCATTTCATTTGACACAATTGCCCATATAGTCCATTTATCAATTTGCAGATGACCAATTGCCCTATCCTTTTCAATTACCCAACCACATATAATACTCAATGAGTTTAAAATGGCTAAACTGCCCTGTTATGCTGAAAAGCTTCATTTTACAAAATTAAACTTGGATGTATGGAATTACATTTTAATCCAAACACTTACCCATAAGCAACTATCCAATGTTGCTTGGATAGATGTGGTAATCAGAATCTTATGTGTATCAGTCAAGAAAAAAAACATGGACTTGCAGACATGTCTATAGAAAAGAATATAATATTAAAATAGCTCTTTTTTTTAATTCTAACATCATATACCTATAAAAAGGGGCTCTAAAGTGTTGTTTTGCTACTAAGTAATATTTTATAGCAGAAATGGCATTCATCTTGTACATTAGCTATTCAATTATGTCAAATAAGGTAGGAGATAAAAAAAGGAAATCTTATAATATAAGTGTCCCTCAAAAATCCATGGAGTACAGACACATCATCCACTTAGGAGAATCTATGCAACAATGCAACTGCCAAATAAGATTCTTGGCAAAAAGTGCTTCCTGTAAGTTGTAAGTTCAATTCCAAAAAAAACAATCCTAATATGATCTCATCGATTAATAGTTTGAGTCATAATGATTCCCATCTCTCCTTGTGCAAACTAAGCATCAGCTATAATGCTAATATGATCTCATCAATTAATAGTTTGAGTCATAATGATTTTCATCTCTCCTTGTGCAAACTAAGCATCAGCTATAATGTTATTCCCCCCAAGTTGCCACAATCATCTACTCTTAGGCTCAGTTTGGAAGGAGTACAAATACAAATATGTACAAAATAATACAAAACACAAAGTTTTGCACTCTACATATTTGTATTTGTATTCCTTCCAAACTGAGCCTTAGTTGGTAAACATATAAATGTCACCACGATATGCAAACCACACAGCAGGGCCTAGAATGCATGAGTGAGAACATAGAAATAGACCGAGTAGATAGCATAAGAAGGCTTTTTTATAAGTACATTAAGAAGGCATTTCATATGTTAGACCATGTACATCAAAGGCCAATAAATACACCACTGAGAAAACAGAAATTTTATACAATGTTAAGGCTCTAAATGACAGTGAAGGGCATAAAAGGATACGGGTCATAATAAAAGAAATTAATTGAGGACTTCCAAGTTTAGAAGTCAAAAGATTCCTAAAAATACCTTTCAAGAAAGAGAATAGAGATATCATGGCTGGATATTTTGCAAAATTTTATCCCATGTGGAAAAAACTGTCAACCTTCTAGACACGATGTAAAAAATCCCAACCCCAAATCCGAAAAAAAATCTAGTGTAATTTATTCCACCAGGAGTAATGCAGTATCCAAGGAACTTGAAGCATGATTCTAGCTTGTATTTTACCATGAATCCATGCCAAGATGAAACAGGATACTTCAAAAACAAGGAGCACTTCCTGATTCTCAAATAGAAATTCTAATTTTGTTCTGTCAGAAAACAAACACTCAGATCAGAACAGAATTGAATAAACACCCTAATGAGTAATGACATGAAGGGCTACTTAAAAACCGCTTTATGGAAGACAGAACTTAATATCGGAGCTGAAAGGAGAAGAAACGAGGAAGAGGAAGAAAATATTTATATAGGGAGGACGAGAACCAACTCCCCAGCCAGGAGAATATAAATAAACCAACCTCAATGTAAGATGCAGCTACTTCAGAGTGTTTCTCATTTGTCCTTGCAATGAAGATATCCCAAAACACCGACCACCACTCAAAGAGAAAACCGCCAGGAGCGTCAATAGCTGAAAAGTGAAAACCAATGTAATCCCATATTCCAAAAACCTCAAAGTGTAAAAAGAACGAATTTCAGAAACTCTAAAGATATCAGTTCTTTCTTGATATCTCTTAATAATCTCACCAACAGGGTCTGAAGACACTTTCCCTTCACCTTGAAAGGCTTTTGCTGTAGCCTGTAAGTTCCTTTTCACTAAATAATCATATATATACACATCCAACCTGTTATCAACCAATAGAAGAAAAATAGCACTAGTCAGGTGCAAAGATTGAAACTTTATCAACAATACAGAAGAACACCGCAACCAACCTTAACGGTGAAGAAAAAGGACCCAGAATAGTTAACAGAATAGGAAACAAAAGGACAAAGCACAAGGAGGAGGAGAACATCAACAGACCTAGCTCCTAAATAACTTAAACACAAACTTCAGAGCTGAAAAAACAGAACCCAGCAACAAAAATAAAAGCAGAAAAAAAAAGCTATTGCAACAAACTAGCTCAATGGACAGATGCAGAAAATTCAAACCCTAAGGGAATAGATATTTGAATGAGAAACACAGACGAGAAAGAGAGTGTTTGTGAAGGAAAATCAAAAAGAACCCACTAAAGAAACAAACCTAAAATCAAAGACCCAGAAGAGAAACGTGCCACAGGACTCCTAGAAACCTAAAACGAAAAACCTACCTAAGAGACCCCCCCCCCCCAAAAAAAAAAAAAGGAAAAAAAGAAAAACCACCAAAGTGGGGGAGAAGAAAACAACGAAAAAGAAATAACTTACATTTTATCGGCTTCCCAGTTGGTCTGAGACATGATTCCGAGCTCAAAACCTCAACAGCTCTTCGGAAATGTCTGATAACTCCCCGCTTCAGTCAGATTCTAAGAGCATGGTTTCGGCTTCGTGGGACAAGCTCGATTTCTCTTCATCCTCTGCTCTGAAGGCAATAATCCCGTAAGAAAACCAGATTGTTTGCTCAAAACACCTTCTTAAACATACCCAAAACGAATAAAAATAAACAAGACCGGAAATAGGGAGAAAGAAAACAGTACGAGGATGGACAGGCAAGGGATGAAGAGATGAGAGAGAATATGAGCAAAAAAGCAGAAATGAGAAAACGAAAAATCTATTGAGTATTGAGTTTAGATAAGAGAAACCCACCTTCTTATGCCCTCTCTATTTCTGGCAAAAGCAAGAATTGGTGACAAAATTAATGATTATTAAATGAAAATAAATAATAGTATATTGTAAGATAAAAAAAAATCAATAGTAAGTTAGAATAAATACAGAGAAAATTTTAAAAAAAAATCAAAGTAAAACAGAGGAAGTAAAGAGGGATGGATTTACCTGCAAACCCAAAACCAGCTTTTGTTTGTGTAAGCTTTTTATTGGGTTTTGAAATTATTTTTTATTGTTTTTTGGGGAAATTTTCTGATAGCTTTGGTTGATTGAGCTGCTGCAGATATCATTACTGCCTTGGTGATAGAATGAGTGAATGACCAGAATTAGCCCTGCCTTCCTGTCAAATCTCTGTTGTAGGCAAAACCCGTCCCAGCCTCAGACAAATAGAGTAGGGGGAACATGTGTGAGGCGCTCATGTGTAAGAGCAGATCCCGTTTTAATACGAGACCGGACTTGTTCCTCACATAGGGCGCCTCACACCATACATTGAAAATATTTCCCTTACTTAAAAGTTATTATTTAGGGGAGATGTTCTCAATGCACGATGAATGTGCCTGTGAGGCGCCATGTGTGAAAAGAAACGTCACCACACTCTCTACCACACCCAGAGTCGCATGGGTCTTGTCTTGGGCCTGGACTTGTCATCATGTGAATCGGATGGTTCTCAAAGGATCAAGATCAAATCAAATCATCCAGAGCCAGAGCCCTAAGGTACTTGCGGTCAGGGTTATTCTCTTCTCTTCTCAACGAGGGCACTTTGGTCAAATCAGGCAATTTATTCACAGTCTTAATACTAATAGCGTGATGTTTTAATACTTTAAGTGCGAGAGCCAATGATCGAAAATCCCACCATGTCTTCGTTTAATAAATAGAAAAAAAAAGAGAGGAAAAAAAGGGAAAGGTGAAGGAAAATTCTTATTTTATTATGTTTATATACCAAAAAAACTTATAATTGATCAATTGACATCATAAAATTGATAATCAATCAAGTGGTTTTCATCAAAATTCATGGACATCATAATGGAATTTTTCTATTTTTTTTACAAAATTTGTTAATAATTTTCTCTTATTTTCTTTCAAACCAAACAAATCTATAGGATACTATGGGCAAATTTAATAAAAGCAAGGGCGGGTTTGCAGTTGGAATCAGAATCAAAATTCTTTAGAATTTAGAATCTGAATAGTCCATTCCCATAGTCTATTTGATTGGTTGAGACGGGAATGAAAATATAAATTAAAATCAACAGGAATCAAATTTTATTCCCAAAGGAATGACCATTCTCTCAAATGGGAGAATATCATTACARAAATAACAATAATAGAATTCTGATTCTGTCCAATCAAACATTTAGAATTGAAATAATCCATTCTGATTCCATATCCATTCCCATTCCCATGAATCAAATGGGCCTAATTTTCTCTATCTGCAGTAATCATAGTCCATAGTTAGCTCAAATATTACCAAATTCTCGAGTAATATTTTTTCCTCAAATTTGCCGAATTTTTAGTTAAAAAATCAATGTGAGATATTTGAAGTAACATATGTTCCTATTTTGAGGTAGAAAATATTAAAATAATGGAATGAGATCCTATCATATCATTTGTTCCCCTACCAAAAGAAGAAAATGATTTTGTGTTTGCTCAGAGTAAATAACATCCAAGTTTTGTTGACCCAAATAGTGTGGGTGATAGTTTAGCCGGTGGGCCCAAAAAGCCCCGTATCAACCAATCATCCCTTTCCGTTGGCCAAATTTTGAACTTAACATGGGCCCATATCAACCAGTGGGTCTCTTGTGCGACTCTAATGACTTTCGATGAACCAAGGTATGTGCTTGCACCATTGTGTATCGCGGGCAACGAAACTAGGCCTGTAAAAGAATCAAATTTGAATCAAATCAGGCTAGATTTGAATTCGAAATCGATTATGAACACTAATATTTGAATTCAATTTGATATTCGACGGATATCAAATCTTTGAGTTCGAATTCGATTTCGATTATCAAATCGAATATTCGATTCGATTCAAATTTGACCGATGGCAATGATGGCAGTGCTGCGATGGAGAAGAAGAGATATAGAAGATGATGGTTGTCGTCGACGATGGTGGTTGCCGTTGAGACTACTATCACTGACAATAGCAGTGCGGCGAGGGAGAAATAGAGAAGATAATAGCTGTCGTCGGTGATGGTGGTTGCCATCGAGACTACTGTCACTCGACCACTTTCACAGACGTTGTTATTGCCTCTTGCCTGTTGGTGATGGTGGTTGCTCGAGCGGTTGCGGTAATGAATCGAGATTTGAAACTTGAAAGAGAAGAGATAGAGGAGAAGATAGAAGAGATAGGTGATGGTTGTTGCTCGAGCGGCGTCGAGTTGCTAGTGTGGCCGGTGTGGTTGCTCGGGCGATAGCTGCGGCGAAGGGAGAATTAGGGTTATGGTTTGCAAGGAGATGGAAGAGAGAAGAAAATGTCAAGTGATTTAGGGTTTAGGGCCGGCTGACTGGGGGTTAAATTTCCTCATTTACCCATAAGAGACTATATATATATCGGTTCGGATATTTATTAGATCGGATCAATGCATATCTGAATTCGATCCGATAAATTAATCAGTAAGAAATTAATATTCGAATTTGACCAAATATCTGATTCAAATTATTCGAATTCAATTCAATTGTGTTGAATCTCGGATTCGAATTCAGATTTTCAAATACCGTTTACAAGCCTAAATGAAACCAAATGATAAAGAGGACTCGTGGGATGTATGGGATTTCTTAAGATTTTAAAATTATTATCAATAAATATTAAATTTTTAAAAGTTATTTTCTTTAATTATTAATTGATATAAGTGAAATTAGTTATTTACAATATCATTTAGTTATTTAAATAATGCCATTATTTAAATTTTTAAATATTAATTATTTATTGTATTTAATAATCCATAAAATTATGATTTATACCATTATTACATAATTTCATTGTTTTAACTATTTAAATTATAGTTATATTAAATATTTAAATAATATGTGAAATATTTAAGTTTTTTTGTTATTTGAATTTCATTTATTTTAAAGCTATTACATAATATTAAATATTTTGTTATATAATTATTTAACTATTTTTAATATTTTGTTATTTAGGATACTTAGTTATTGAAATATTGAAATAATATTTTATATTCTAATGTTACATTTTTATTGTTTGAATAACATTTAAATTGAATTATCTGGTAAATCATAATTTATATTGTTAGTACATAATTTTGTGATGAATATTTAAATAATTCTTAATTTTTAATTCAATCTTTCTTTATATAAATATAGTTAAAAAGTGGGGGGGAGGATAAATAGGAATCAAGGATAACTTAGGAGATAAACACTACTAAATTAGAGATAATGTATAAGATAAATAGGAATTATAGATAATTTAGAAGATAAACAGGAATTATAGAAAATTTAGGAGAAAGTGGGGGAGGTAGTTTAGGATAAGAGATTATTTAGGTTATTGGGAACATGTGGGGGAGTATGTGAGTGTGTGTGTGTGAGAGAGAGAGAGAGAGAGAGTAGTGAGTGAGGAGTCTGGATCTCCTGCCCACGAGAGCTCTGCTCATGTTAATCACAGCCACACAAGAAGAACATCTCATCCTCTACATATTATTAAGMAGGGGGAGATGTTCCCAGATCACGTGGGGTCGTGTATTGTGGGTAGGTGTGGGTAGAGTTCCCGTGGGCAGGAGATCCGGAGTCGTGAGTGAGTGAGAGAATTTATGTCATTTTTTATAGGGAATGAGAGCATCTCATTGGTTGTTTAAAAAATGACATGGAATTAAAAAAAATAAAAAGAGAAAATTCCTAGACTTCCTTATTATATATATATATATATACTAGCAAGGATCAGTGCAATGCACGGGATTTATTAAGTGAAAGCTAAACAATAGAAACACACTAGTGGGGACCCGTGCATGCACAGGCTTTATTAAGCGAAAGCTAAATAATAAAAGCACATAAGAGTATTGTTTTATATTTGAACCTTTTAAATAATTAATAATTAGTTATATTTTATATACTACTTTTAATAATTTTTTACAATACAAAAATAACAATAATTAATTTCAGCCAAGTTGTTCATCAAACCGATAAAATTGACCAATACAATCCAACTCGACTCGAGTTGATTGGTTTTATAGTATTTATGGTGGATTTCGCTTCAGCAATTTCCCAACCTAACCAGGTCGGGTTAATTTTTGTTTGGCCATTTGTAAATCGACYTGACCATATATATTTTAAATATATATTGTTCAATATGGAAAAAGTGGGAAAATTTCCATATTTCTTAGTCTAAAATATTTCATATTATAAATTTAAGTTTTTAATTTATTTTTAATAATACCACCATAATTTTTAAGTTTTAAATATTTTGAACCAACCAACCAAATAGAAAATTGACCCCGAGCAATATAACCCGAGTTGGTTGGTTTCACTAATAGTTGGTTGGTTTTGGGT